CTGATGCACCAGTGTGTTCGGCGACTCGTTTCCGTCATCACCGTGTGTGGAGTGATTGGAACAATATCTGAACTCTGAACATTGTAAGTGCTTTGGGTGACCTTGGTCTGTAAAATGCGCTATATAAATAAACATGACTTACTTACTTACTAAACATGGGAAAAATAAACTCTCCTTCTAGTCATGCACCGCATCACAATTCTTATGTTTTGACTCAACAGCCTTTAGTGCCACAAAAAATAACTTTTACCTTGTGACACCCAGCCTCCCTAAGAATACACAACTTCTGAATTCTATCAATACACGCCCGCAGCACATTCAAAACCAGGAGCGAAAAAAGGAGGCCTGATCCCTTTCGATTCACTCTGCTAAGCCGCTTTTGTGCGTTAGCTTTGGAGGCAAGTCTGCTGGTGGTCTCAAGGGTTTTAAACTGAAAACACACATCTCTCTCCAGGCAACAGCTGCTGCAGATCCATGGGTAAACAGACAGAATATGAGTCTTGGTCTCGTTCCTATATCCTTGAATCCTTTTCCCCCAAATTTCACATCTACCTGATTATTTCCTAGCTCTCGGGTAAATCAAATCCACTCAATATAAAGGATTATTAAAGCAGCTGCCCGAAGCCGAGTCACATAACTCAAATGCGGTTTATTATGCAGACATGTAGGCAGTGATTTTAATAAACTACTGACTTAAAGCTGGGGTATCTGACTTCGTTGTGTTTTTTTCATGCTTTATGTAGATGTATGTTTGTCAGATAGAAAGAGTCTTGTATAAGTAAAATGTGGACAATTCAGATTTAACACAATCATTTTGAATGTTTGCTGTCAGAAGTAGCTAATACGCACAGGCAAGTCTGAATGGCTCCTGCATTGATCAACATGGAGCCAGTGCTGTGTGCTTGAGCTGACAGTGTGGGCTCCTGGGAGCTGCCTCAGTCCTGCGCCGCGTGGCCTCGGTCCTCGTTCAGCCTGAATGCCTCCTTCAGTTTAGGCCTTCCTGAGGTTTTTCACTTTTCTCTCACTGGGATTTAGTTGTTCCTTGCTGATGCAGGAGGGTCTAAGGACAGTGGTTCATCTGCTCATTCATCTGCTCCTTGGGGACCATGTTTTATCCAGGACACTTGACATTCAACGACATTTATCAATATTCATCATTCATCTGCTCTTCGTGGACCATTGTCTATGTGCTTTTTATCATTGCATTTCTTGTGTTTGAACTTTTTAATTCTCTGATCTGTGTTGGCAAATTCGACGGTTTTGTAGAATAACTACTGTTGTGATTCAGGACTATAGAAGAATGATAGGTATTAAATGTAGTTCTTATTATTCCATTTTATGTCAAATATTTGTTCAAGATGTTGGGAAAAAGAGTATCTAGATTAACTTAGTCAAACCCCTGTAGACATGTGTAGAATCCGACTGGCTTTAACAAATGTATCGGCCACACTTTGGTTTCCGTCTCAGCTTTTGTCTGCCCTGCATCAGTTCTAACAGGTGCTTAATCGAAAATGAAATTGTTTTGGAGACATTTACAAAGCATGCTGCGAGCGCATCTTCTGTTTGGGAGAATCTCAAAGCGTGTTTAGAAAGCTGCAGCCGTCCTTTCCCATCTGCCTGATAGGACTTCGAGTGTACACAACAGCAAAACAAAAAAGTGTGGCAAAGGATTTATAGGGAGACACCATCCACAAACTCCCTAGTGCTAGAATTAAGGCTGTTTAATATTCCATTGCTGATTGCTGGATTAACTGTTCCATCTGGCTGTCAGGGGGGAAAAACCATTCAAATTGGAAAAGAAAAACTCCTAGTGTTGTGTTGCCCGCTCTGTTGTTTTATTGTGGTTAGAAATTGGATCTAGGAGGAGTAGCATGGATTGGACAGGCCGTACCGAAGGGATAGCTGAGAAAATGCATTCATTTTTCTCTTGTCATACACCATACATCGCCTCATTTGTCTGCCCCAAGTCCTTTGTTTTCTGTTTGCAAGATGGCTGCCCAAGTGGAAGCCCTGGGAATAGTCTTGAATGATTATTGCAGCCCACTGTATTTCCTTAATATTTAAAAGCGATAGTAGTATTTAATATCTGCTGACTGGCCATAAAAGATGGTGAAAGAGAAAGAGAGAGAGAGAGAGATGGAGGTAGGCAGGGGCACAGAGGCACAAAAGGAAGTGTTTTTTTTCTACAAATTGCCCCGTGGATACTCAGGAGGAGCATTGACCCAGTTTATGTGGCTCACAGGTGATTAATGGGGCGTCCCTCTAAACAAAGGTCGTGTGAGGAGGCGGAGGAGGCATCGGGACGCGAGAGCTCTGGGACCGGGCCCATGTAGATGGGGTTATAAGCGAGGCAATAAGGGAGGTTTTGTAGGGCACGGTGGTCCCGCGAGAGAGTGAAGGGATGGAGAAGTGGAGAAAACTGCACTCAGAACACATGTACTCTATTATGGCAATGAACTGCTACATGGGGTTGTTTTATGTGATGTTAGTTGAAAATATATGAATATGCAGGGTAGGTTCAATCCATAGGTTATTACTCGGATTATGTCGCGCTTTAGGGCTGCGTAACTCTGTAAAAATATCTACATATCTTGCGATTTTTCAGACTAATAATGTAATTTCTATTTGAATTCACCCTATGTTTCGTGTGCATGTATCAAATGAGTGTTACGTTGTAAAACATGGGCAACTTGGTGTATTGCTCTGTCTACTCAGCATTTATTATAAAACAGGGTAAGTTTAGCTAATACAAGATTCTCACATTTCAGACGTAACTTTAGGTACTATTGTCATTTATTCATACTAGGGCTGTCAAAATTATCGCGTTAACGCACGTTAATTAATTTTTGTAATTAATCGCGTACAAAAAAATTACGCAATTAACGCATGCCCATAAGATAAGATAAGTGACGTGATCATATCCAAGACCACGCACAGAACTATTCTCTGATTGTAGTGTGCGTGTCTTTGCGTAACTGGTTCACACAAAAAACACAGCGCAGAAGCTGGACAATGGAGTCTCAGTCTCCTCCGTGTCTTCTCCCAAAGCGCACTCGCTAAATTAAAGCTGGGGTACCTAATTTTCCCTTCCTGCATTTCAGACTGTTTTGAAATGTCCCTCATCTGTAACAAATAATGGTTTAGGTCTGAGTCTAAACAGAAAGACAGAATGTTAATAATGTTAATGCCATTTTATATGGATTTATTGTTATAATAAACAAATACAATACATATGTATGTACACTATGTTGACATGTATCTTTCCATTCAAACAACCATTTACAGAAAAATACGGCATCATTTTCTCGATTGTTTGAAATGCGATTAATTACGATTAATTAATTTTTAAGCTGTGATTAACTCGATTAAAAATGTTAATCGTTTGACAGCCCTAATTCATACATATTTTCAAAATGCAATGCAATACAATACAATTTATTCTTGTATAGCTCTAAATCACAACAGTAATAATTTCAGAGGACTTAACAAAACCATTGAAATCACCAACACAGATCAGAGAATCAACAGTTAAGACACAAAATGAATATAGAACACTTGTTGATAAATGTCCATACATGTTGTAGAATGTTAAAGTGTCCTGGATCATCACCGCAGTCCATTTTGTTAGACAATAACTGCCCAACAGACCCTCCTGCATCGACAAGGAAAAACTCACAATAACCCAGTGGGAAAAAAGTGAGAAACCACGGGGAGACCCACAAAACGGTCCTTCCCCTTCGAGTAAACACCACCAGCCCCACCATATTTGCAGGATGATAATTGTTAGACCGATGTTAAGGGGCCTCAGCTGTCTATCCAGGATTTGAATTAATTGCATCCAATTAGGAACCTATGGGGGCGGGACTAACTGATGCTTGCATTCAAAATACGTCTCTTCATCTTAATCATTTGAATAATAACTGACTACAAAAAATGTCATGAGAAGCTAAATGTGCCACGTATTTGCTTTTCTAACCACTTGAACTGACGACTGCTGAAGTGCGATCGTGGAGATGTCAAACCTGGCTGTTGGCTGAAGGTCTGAGTGCTGCTGCAGCTGTCAAAAGCCGTGCATACACTGTAAACTGAGACACTGAGAGCTACAGCAAGACCAAGGCAGTCCTTTGATCTACTCGCGCTCTGCAAATAAATAAAAGTTACTGTCACGTTTTACCAGCGGTTATATAATGTTGTATATGATGTTGTCGGAGTACACACATGAGAAGCACGCTGTAAAAAAAGCACACAAAAATCTGACAAATAGCAAATGAGAGCGTTGGCCCCCTGTACCTGTTTTGGGTTTGCCTTTGCTATTTGATTATTATGATATCAACATTTCAGTCAATTTGTGTCTGTAAAAGCATGTGGTCTGAGTCCTAACTAAAGGACTATAGGTTTGCCTTGACAATGTCCATTAAGCTTAATATAAACAGAGATATTTAATGAACTCAGTCAGTAAGTAAACCTTTGTCATACAGTGCTTTTCACAGCTGCAGTCACAAGTGGCTTCATGTTAAATGTGCTAAAATAGTCAAATACGCTATAATCGAGTCAATAAAGGCTCAGAAGAACCTGCTTTCTAAGGCAGTGAAGGCAGTTGGTCCAGGAAATGAAGAGCGAGGACCGGTCTCATCTCGTGGCAAATGTATTAGCTATTAAAATGAAATGGAAAAAGTAATATCAATTTAGTTCCCCAACTTTCATCACTGCGTCGCTCCTGCCGCAATACTCTTAGAATATTCAATATGAAAAGTGTTTTCTTTGTCCTTGCCCTGCTGACGTTTATATATATTATATTCTTTTTCAACCTTGTAGATTGGTGTCTGAACTCATGGTCAGCAGTCTCAGCAGCCTTCCCTCTATCAAAACGCATTTAAATGGAACGCCGGGTGTAATTATCCAGCGCCATAGCCCCCTCTCTCTTTGTGCTTATCTAAATCATTATCTCAGATTTTCCAGCGTTTGGACCAAAAGCGAGTTCTCTGAGGGATTCCACAGACATGCAGGTTTTTGTCTTATTTTTTTTCCCTTCTTTCCAAAGAAATTACTGGCTCTAAATGAAGCAATGATTTTCTCAGTATGTGCCAACTGAATAGTGAGAAGGGTTTCCAATCTGAGAACAGAAGCCGGTTCATTTTTGTGAAGATGAGGGCAAGATGGACCCAACAGAGGGGACGCTTTGATGTGGCGCTTGCATAATGTCGCTTCAAAGCATGTTTTTCACTGTGCCCAGAATTTCTAATATGTTCGCAGACCTCCTCGGGGAGACGAATTCAAGAGGGCATTTTAATATTGTATTTTATTGCATGTTGTTGATACCTGCAAAACAACTATTTACCTGGATTGGCTGATTGTTGCTGGCCAGTTGGAGGCTTCTCACTGTTAGAATTACAGTAGTGATGGAGCTCAGAAATATTGGGTGACACCTAATGGAGTACAGTGGTGGACTATAAAGATGAATTTAGTCTCACCTGGTTAGCTTTGCAATTCTGAGGTGATTTTCTGAGTAAAAAATAAAAACATACAACGTTTTGAGAAGATAGAAACATTAATAACTAGTAAACTGACAGATGTACCCTATACATTTCAGAACATGCCGTATAAGACTGGACATACTTTTTTGGCTTTCTTTCCTTTTGGTGTAAATATAAATCAATCAATAGTTTGTGCAAGTTCAGATAAAACTAATCGATGATGATGTTATTTTTACATGACAAATTACATCAAATTGGCTCTTGCGAAATGCTTCTGTTTCTCTTGTGTCTCGCTAATGAACGTGCAGGACAAGTAAGACGCTCCGTTGAACATGTTGGCCCAAAATAAGTGCATTTATTTTCTATTTAGAATTGTATTTTCTACATTTTAAATCCATACTAGTATCAACAGATTATATAGTGTCAATATTTTCTATAGTTATAGTGACACGAGCGCTGGTGTGTACTATCTTCTCTGTCTGGTGCACACTGGTGTAGTCTTGCGCAGTTTTTCCAATGTGGTTTTACTGTAAATGGTAAATAAATTATTGTATTTTGCAGTTATTTGTGTGGTTTCAAAATTAGATACTTCAGCTTTAAAGATGTATGATAGCAGTCTGGATAGATAGATAGATACTTTATTGATCCCAGGTAGGAGAAAATCAGGTGTCCAGTAGCAACAGAAACACATGCATTCATACAAACAAAACAAATGAATAGATCATTCTAGAAATAGCTACGTATGTGTCCGCTTTTGTAACAGAATTGTCTCTTCATTTTTTGCAGGTGAATGGGAAGGAGCTGTCCAAGTCCAGCCATGACGAGGCCCTTTCCTTCTGCAGCCCCCGAGAGCCTGTGGTGGTTCAGGTCATCCGCAGGACCCCGAGCGGCCGCCCCCACGGCTCCCCGCAGGAGATCCATGTGGTGGACGTGTGCACCCAGACCGACATCACCTTCGAACACATCATGGCTCTGGCCAAACTGCGGCCCTCCACTCCCCCAGTGCCTGACGTCTGCCCCTTCCTGCTCTCGGACAGGTACTGGCTCGCTGCACACTGGGAACTCACAAGTATCTAGAGTCAATAATGATCCGTTTTAAAGCTTTTGTTAAAACATCTGATAAAGATAAAAATAAAAATATATAAATATAAACATGTTGACCTTTCCTGAACAGTGTTAGACTGATTTAGAGTGTTACCAGAACCTGAAAAAGACCTGATGCAATTATTAAAAAAGGAATTTTTCAATACTTGGGTATAGATTAGATTCACTGGGATCTCCAACTTGTAGCTCGGTAGCTAGTAGCTGACTGCCGCTGTACAGGTAGCTCCTCAAGGAATAATAAGGAACAATAAACTTTACAAAATACACTGAATATCTTATGATGTATTACTCTTACTTACTTTCATAACTTTGTGCCCTAGTAACAAATATGAGAACACAAGAAATTACTTTTGACAGTTACATACCCAATCTCAGGCTCTCTGGCAGTAGCTCTGTGGCATATTCCTCGCAATTGTGTAAGGGGAAAAATGTTGGAGACTCATGACACCTCTCCTGCCTGCTCTACTGTATAAGGAAATACGCACTGATTGCAAAAGGCATGAGTGTTGTGATTTGTGATGTCATGGGTAAAATCATTTGTAACATATCTTTTTAAACAGAGCTATTTGAAATATGCATGTCTTTTTGTATTTATAAATGGATTTGTTTTGACAAAAGCAGAAATCATTGCAACTCACATTTCTTTCAGATTTGTGAAAGATGTTTCGGAATTTGATGCAATTTATGGAGAAAACAATGAAACTATAAAATATATTAGTAGTGAATAAAAGCGGGAGGAGAGCGCGCTGCAGGATCCACAGTGTTAAATCTCGAACATTTACAGGAGCTCTCCAGGATGAGACGGAATGACATGAAATAAAAACGTCGACACAAAGTCAAAGAAGGCTCTGAGGCACGCTGCAGTAAAAGGAAATTAAAGTCCTTTTATTCAAATAGAGTTACTGCTTATACACAGTTCAACACTGGACATGTTTTCATCAGGGCTTTAAATGGTGATTTTGGGTCAACATTAAATTGCTATATATTTTTGTAATTTACCAGGTTGTTTTGTACCAAAGATTAAGATTAAGATTAATCTGAGTCCTAGGCTCTTGACTAACCATGAAAATTGTGTATCTTCACAAATGACTCACTGATAAATGAGCAATTCACAGACCTTCATCTATGGCTCACTTCACTGCTGCAAATAAACTACGCTTTAGCTGCATAAAAAAGGATTTAAGGATGCCGGTTGAGGGACCAATTTATATCATGTACTTCTTACTGCGTTCTGTATTTGCAGTGCAGTTACATTGTAAGATAAAGTCAATGTTGTACATAAATAGAACGCAGTGTAATGCAAGCCACAGGTTTTCATGTTGGAATGTCCAGGTGAATCAAAATGGCACGAGAAAGAAAGGAGGACATAAAAAATTTGATACATGTTTGTGATGTTTGTGCAGAAGGTGAACCTAACCCTAAACCTGACCTAATCCTAAAGTTATACCTTTATTCACATGTTTGTTTTAATTAAATTCAAATTCAAATAACTTTATTTGTCCGTGAGGAACTTTATTTGCAGACGGAGCACCATTGGGGATACATGAAAACACAGAAACACAAGATATACGAGATAATACAGTATAAAATATATAACACAAATAGCGACTATTTATGAATATTTCCCTTTTACTAAATGCTAAGATTCTTGTAAGACTCCGAGCATGGTGCCTTATCCTAGCTGTTAGCTTCCATGTTGAAAATGAATGGAGTTCCAGAATTGTACCTTCCTCACCTTTGTCTTGGCCTTGTGCGTCCTGCGCACAAGGCCATAAGCCTCCAGGGGGCGCCTTTAGCAATCAAAAATAGTTTTTAGGCACTTGACAAATGCAGCACCAAATACGCTGAGAATTAAGTTACTTGATTTTGAATATAAGCAAACTAACTTCAAAGCTTCCGACAGAATCCACTCTCATTATCATATTCTAACTTCCTTCCTGCTTTACAGCTCAAAGGGATATTTTTACTCTTTTCTTTAGGTTTTTCCAGGAACGATGGGTTATATTCCCCTTCCAACATTTTAGTTTATGCCGCTTTCATCTCAAAGGAGAACTAAAATGTGTGCAAGACAAAGTTTAGGAAAGAAATATCTTGGCTTCTCCCCCAGGGAACGAGGCAGGAGAACAATGCTGGAGTTTTATTACAGAAAAGAGCAATGGGATTCAATGCAATTAAATCTAACTCTGACAAACATCTAAAATACATTTATGGTCTTACCTTTTTGGGACTTGTTTAAACATCTATAAAGCAATATCAATTCTCCATCTGGATTTCTCCGCAAATGCCATTTCAAATATGTGTTATTGTCAAAAGATTTGCAGTATAATCTAACTATTCCCCGCGGGTCTTCATCCGGTTAATGAAGTTACCGTGCAGTTTTTTTGCCCGCACGTCGCAAGTTTTACAAGGTGATTATATGGAATGGGCTAATAAACAAGGCGACACACACCGGCCACTATAACCGGTTACCGCAGCCCCAGGCCTTAGCTCACTTGTAATCAATGCGAACCATAAAACTCCCATGTTATTTACTTCTTTGTCTGACAACAGGTGCAATTCAATAAACAACATTAGAGAGATGTAAAATGATGCTTAATGGCGTTGAGGATGGAGCAGAGCTTTGTAATTGTGAGGGAGCGGTAAGAAAATATGGGGTAGCAATCCGGCAGAAATGTGTTGGCTGTTTCTTTAGAGGCAAAAATAAACCGATTTACTTTCCTTTGTTCAGGATTTTATTATTCAAAGCTTTAAAGTGCACTTGCTTTATGGGCCTGTGTCCATAGTGTTGAGAAAACTCATTTGTATTTGATATACAAATATTCTTCCTGCTTCCTGCTTCTGGACAGAGCAGTCGCATTCTCTTGCTGCTCCTCGCTTGCTGCTTTTTTATCTCCTTTAATCATTTTTGCTTACATTTTTATTCCACAATACACGGATTACTCCTTTTTACAAACTTCAACACAAGACTTGTGGAATTTACCTAACTTACAGCATGTCGGGAGGACGGGAAAGAACAAAACTTTGCGACGGCTGTTTTTCACTCAAACAGGAGCTAAAACTTCTTCAAGACCGAATGTTTGTGCTTGAATCAGAATTGGGGCTGAACACAACAATACCAGTGAAAGGAAATGGACCACATGGACAGAACGTAAGTTATGATGACGCTATTTCATTTCCCAAAATCAACAGAGACAATTGTTGGAACACATATGGTGCCAAGCCCAAACAAGGCAAAGCTAATGATAACAAGAGTGTCATAATGCCACAGCAAAAATCTTTAATTACAAGAAACCGCTTTTCACCACTTTTGGAAGATGAATCAGCAGTAGTCTCTACAACAAAGCTGCTAAAAACTGCAGCGCCTCCACCAAGGACAAACTGTGTCCTTATCGGAGATGGCTCGGTGAAAAATGTAAACATGGAGTCCATGCTCACTGTCTCAGTTCACTCTGCTAAAGTTGCTGAGATAAGAACTCTCCTGCCTAAAGTGTTATCTGAGAACAGTGGTGTGCGTACATTATTGATCCACACGGGGGCGGTAGATATCTATGAGAAGGCAAGCGAGAAGTTACGAATGGATTTAACGCTGTTACTGGATGACCTCAAGAAAATGGACATAACAATTTTTCTTAGTGGCCCACTGCCAAATATAGATGGAAAAATGGAGAAGTTTAGCCGTCTGTATCAGCTAAACACATTCCTACTCAATGAGTGTTCACGCAGAGGACTTGGCTTCATTGAAAACTTTAATCTGTTCTGGAATAGGCACGAGCTTTTTGAAGAAAAAGGCCCACATCTGAACAACTACGGAGTAAAAGTGCTGATGGATAACTTTGCATCTGCCCTAAGACCTCAGCCTGCGCAGCGCGTGCAGCCGTTGAAAGGGAGAAAGAAGAAGCAAAGGGCACAGACATCACGACCATCTCCACCGACTCCCGAGGTCTCTGCACCCCCACCGCCTCAAAAGAACTCCACACCTCCACGATTCAAGAAGAACTCAACACCTCCAAGGTTCCAAAAGAACTCAACACCTCCACGGCTTCGAAAGAGCTCAACGCCTCCACCCCCAGCATCATCAGCAGCTGCCACATCTTCATCAGCGCCATCAGCATATACAGCACCACCAGCAGCAGTGGATACAGCCGCAGCAGTGGCTGCTCCATCATCTTCAGCAGCAGCAGTGGATACAGCAGCAGCAGTGGCTGCTCCATCATCTTCAGCAGCAGCAGTGGATACAGCCGCAGCAGTGGCTGCTCCATCATCTTCAGCAGCAGCAGTGGCTGCTCCATCATCTTCACCAGCAGCAGTGGATACAGCAGCAGCAGTGGCTGCTCCATCATCTTCAGCAGCAGCAGTGGCTGCTCCGTCATCTTCAGCAGCACCTTCCCCACCTACAGCTCCCGTGAAGCTTCCCCCATTACTCCAGGCTACAGTCAGGCCTGTACTGGGGGTTCCTCAACCACCTCTGTCTCCACCAAAGACTCCCTCATCACCTTCCATGGACCCGGCTTGGGTCCCCCCCGCTACATCCACTCCATCTAGGGAAAATGAGGACGACCTTTCCCTTTGTTCTTCTATCCCCGCCTTCACTACTGGATTTACCGGCGCACTCTGCAGGCATGATAAGATCGGCGATGAAGACTATTCCTCTCACACCCACTGTAGCCAGATCAAGAGTCCTATCTAACATTCAAAACTACTCCCCATACGTACCTCCAAAGCCACCTAGGGCGTCCAACTCAAATTCTCCCACAAAATCCACCCGTCCCTCCTCTAACCCCATAAGTATTCCACCCCCCCCTCCTGCTCATTTAGCCCACCTCCCCCCCCCTAACTCAGCACCAAGAAACCCTCCACCTCCACTCCCCCCTCGTCCACCACCCAACTCAGCCTGCCCCTCCCCTAACCCATCACCAAAAACCCATCCACCTCCCTGCCCCCCTCGTTCAACACCCAAAAGCCACCCACCTCTC